AAATACGTACTCCGAAGGAAGACTTTTAGATTAAGAAAATATAAATTTTGTCAAAGGGTTGAAACAGAAGAACTCTTTCATTATCCAAAGGATCGGATTTCTATAAGTTGCTCATTTTGTAGACGCATTCGTCTTCCTTTTCTAGTTGATTTTTCTTTTTTGACGAATAAAGTGCACTTATTGAAAGCTATAAGAAGCGTTCAAGGAGGATCATTACAAGCTGGATTAATCTAAACGATTAAATCCCCAATAATTCTTTGCGATACTGAAATCAAACATGTAATGGAGGAACGTTCCAAAATAAACGATTAAATCCAAGCAGTTCCCTTGCTCTCCCAGAGAGTGCTACAGAGTCAGCCACCTTGTTGGCCTCTTGATATGTGTCCGACAAGAGAGCGCATTCCAGTACTTGTGAATCTGTTTCTATTATGAGTGAAAACAGATTTTTTGTAAGCAATTTCATGTTGGTTTATATTTTGTTGGTGCTCGAAAGGAATTCATTGTCTTTTTAATTGTCTTGGAAGTGTTAAAGCAAAGTTAACAACAGAATTTTCAAATGAAGTTAAGTGAAAAGGTCCAAGTAATTATTAGCCGTCTCGTTCGTCTTTTCTGTTGGATGTCATAGTAACAAAGTCCTTCCTTGAACAAAAGAATACTGTCACACATTTTACCAACTGCCAAGACCATATTGTCATAACTTGCGCAATCTTATGTCAGCCAGGTAAGCTTGCAAGTCTTCACTTATGTTGTCATAGGGGTAGCAAACGAAGCAATGCGAGGGGTGATGCCTTACTCCCAATTTCGATATGTATGCACTGCCTTAGCATTTTTCTATATTTTTAACTCGTTCTACTTTACATTTTCTTGTACCACTTAAATTATCTTTTTTTTTCTTCCTTTTTTCCGCTGTTATGCAACTAAATCTAACTAGTTAAACATGTTATTATTTGCTAATTCAGTAAAAATTCTAACATAATAATGTTAAATATCAGCAGTAAAAACTTTTATTGGATCAAATATAACTTCTTTCTGAATGTAACTATACAGATTTGTTCATTGTGATCATTTGGCCAACGTTTTTGTATACGGTAGAATCGGAGGGTCCGATTTCTCGTAATCAAGGCACTTCGGAAGATCATCGCGAAGGCTCGAGGCTGCAAGGCCACGGTTGAGTTCTCCTTCCTCGAGGTTCGTCGACGCTCGACCTTGAGATAATGTTGACCCCGGCTATGGTAGAAATGGGGAGTTCCCAAAACACACGACTAGGACTTGTATAGGTCCGAATTTGACCAACCACGGCCGTAGCGAATACGACCAGCAACCCAAAACCTACGAGTCGGCATAGGGGTACGACCCAGAGGTGGAAAGAGTGACGCCATCATAGTAGCGTCGGATTTGGCGCAGTAGGTAGTCCCTGATTCGTCGTTTCCACGACTAAGGAAAATCTCTCTCTATATAAGATAGGTTCGAGTCTTGTAAAGGGCAGACAGTTTTTGTGGAATATACAATTTTATTACCTTTCCTTTCTTGTGATCTCTCTCACTCTCTTTCTTTACTATTAACATCCTAGAGTTTATTACCTTCGGCTAAAATTTACTTCTTCATCCGTGATTGATTTGCTTAAAAGAAGAATATAAAATCTTTTGACTCAAACAATTTGGCGCCGTCTGTGGGGATTTCCATAGCCAAAATCATAGTTCTAATCTAGGATCTCAAAAGTAACGACTACTGTTCCTCAAATCCTGCAAACACTAACAATGGCGGAGAAAGAAGCAAGACTGAAGAGAATAGCAGATGTCTCAAACAACCTCTTAAACTCCCTCAACGAAGCCGGTAGAGAGGACACCGAGAACACAACACCAGGAGATACACCGGAGGGGGAAATCTTGCCCTCTCCACACGAGGACCTAACGGTCTTGCGCGAAAGAGAAGCTTCCACTTCTACAGTGAAAGAAACACCACCAGTGGTCAAAAAGTTACTAGAAGAATGGTTAACAAGCGCTCTGAACAACACGATCGAAAAATCCCCTCAAGGAAACGTCGGAGAAGTACCAGCTGCAGAACCCGCAGTTAACAGCAAAGAGCCAAGTATCGCACAAACGGGCAACGCTCACCCCCCATCTATTGCAGGCGACGGTGCACTCATGGCCATCTTAAAGAAAATGGAAGAAATGGAAAACGAAAATAAATCACTCCGCGACCAAATGAAGGAGCACCAGGAAAGAGTAGACAAAATACCTGGTGCCCCCAAACTGCTGCCAAAACGCGATGTGGGCCGATTCGTTGAACAACCATATAGCGATGGAGCCGCTCCTCACCCCATTCCGAAAACCTTCAAGATGCCACCATACTTGAAAATCTACGACGGAACTACGGCCCCGAGGATCATCTGATCCATTATGTCACTGCGGTAAAAGGTAACGATCAGTCGAAGGAACATGTACCATCCGTACTGCTGAAAAAGTTTGGCAAGACCCTGACAGGAGGGGCCTTGACGTGGTATTCACAGCTACCGGCACGATCTATATCAACATTTGAGGAAATGGCGGATAAATTCGCCACAGCTCACGCCAGAGCAAAGAAAGCTGAAGCCAGGGTCAATGATATTTTCGCAATCAGGCAAACGACAGGCGAGGGACTTCGGGACTTCCTCGCCTGATTCAACAGGGTAAGAATGAGCCTACCGAATGTATCCGAAGGAATGGCGGTAGCAGCCTTTCAGAACTGATTAAACAGAACGGATCCAAAGCGACCAAGAAGTTGCTCAGCAGGCTCATGAAATATCCCCCCACCACATGGGAAGAAATCCACAATGCCTATTGTGCCGAGATGAGGGCAGACGAAGACGATCTGAATGGCTTGATTCAGCGACTAACGTCAGTACAGACCGAGGCGAGGAAAGATCGACATAACGAGGGGCGAAGGGATCAACCCCCGCGTTTCAATCGAGAAAGGCATCAGCCTTATGTCAGAACATCTAACCCGCCTCCTCCAAGGCATACAGATGCCGTGATACGACACACCACTCCCCTTCGAAATGAAAGAGGTATGCCTCCACTGTTATCTGCTCAAAACTTTTGTGTTTCACCTTCAGAGATAGTGTACACACTGGAGAAGTTGGGCACGAAGGTGCAATGGCCACAAAAAATGAAATCAGACCCAAGCGCGAGAAGGTCGAACGTCCTCTGCGAATTCCATCAGGAAAGAGGACACAAGACCGAAGATTGCATAGGCCTACGACAGGAAGTGGTCAGGATGCTGAACCAGGGGTATCTGAAAGAACTGCTCAGCGATAAAGGAAGGGCCAACTTCGCCAGAGGACGCGACCCATCTCAATGACCCCCAAAGCCACCATCACCGGCGCGTCCCATACAGATGATCATCGGTGGTGGTGACGACTCGATAATCAACCATGTGAAGTTCACCACCACGCACAAACTCAAACGGTCGGTCGCCCACGAACGGTATAATGACTTCGAAGACAGTATCATCTTCGAAAAGTCAGATGCCGACGGTTTGTCTTTCCCTCATTATGATGCTTTGGTTATAACATTACGCATCGCTGATACAGATGTAACGAGGATCATGATAGATGACGGAAGCGGCGCGTGTATTATTCATCCTAGAGTTCTCACGCAAATGAGGCTCGCAGATAAAATAATACTGCGTTGCGTAACACTAACGGGTTTTAACAATGCAGTAGAGCGGACATCCGGGGAAATAGCGCTGCCAGTCTTAGCCGGGGGAGTCATACTGGAAACCACATTCCACGTCATGAACCAGGAAACAACTTACAACGCCATCATAGGACGCCCATGGATACATGCCATGCGAGCCGTCCCCTCAAGCTTCTATCAAGTAATCAAATTTCCCACCCCGTGGGGAATATTCAGCATCCGTGGCGAGCCGCGTACTGCCTAGGAATGCTATCGCATCGCCCAAGATTGCACGCACACCAAACAACTAAAAGGTGCAAGTGCGGAGGCATAACAATCAACCATGTCGGGAAATAAACCCGACCCACCAATTGTGACCATCAGAGACCCAGACATCATAGAGGCCTATAACGCGACCATAGAAGACCTCGACCCAGTCCAGTTGGACGACGCCGACAACACAAAGAAGGCTTACATCGGGAACAACCTCTCAGAGCCAGGTAAGTATCGTGAATTTTTAACTAACAACACCGATTTGTTTGCCTTTTCCCACTCAGATATGCGAGGATCACGAAGGACATCGCCACTCATAGGCTGAACATCGACCCACTCCACCCGCCGGTACGACAGATAAGGAGAAAATTCAATGCCGCAATCAATGAAGCGGTCAGCGAAGAGGTAGATAAATTACTAACAAACGGTTCCATCAGAGAATCAAAGTATCCCCAATGGGCCGCTAATGTGGTCATGGTCAAAAAGAAGAATGGGAAATGGCGAATGTGCGTAGACTTCACCGATCTGAACAAAGCGTGCTCCAAAGATTCCTTTCCGCTACCCCATATCGACCAACTGATTGATGCGACAGCAGGGCACAAACTGCTGAGTTTTTTAGATGCCTACTCCGGTTACAACCAAATTCTAATGGCCGAAGAAGATCAGGAAAAAATGACTTTCATCACTCACCAAGGAACTTACTGCTATAAAGTAATGCCGTTCGGACTCAAGAATGCGGGGGCCACCTACCAGAGGTTAGTCACAAAAATGTTCAAGGAACAGCTCAGCAAAACAATGGAGGTCTATATCGATGATATGCTGGTAAAGTCGGCAAAGAAGGAGGACCACATTAGCCATCTGAAAGAAGCCTTCGAGATATTGAGGCGGTACGGGATGAAGTTAAACCCGGAAAAGTGCACCTTTGGTGTGGCCTCAGGGAAATTCTTAGGTTTTCTCGTGTCGCAACGGGGAATCGAAGTCAACCCAGATCAAATCAAAGCCATCGACACAATACCTGAGGTGCTGACCAGCTAAAAACAGGTACAGAAGCTGACAGGGCGAATTGCCGCCATGTCGAGGTTCATTTCACGATCCTCGGACATATGTCAAAAATTATTCAACGTACTAAGAAAAGACCACGGGCTGCAATGGAACGAGGAATGCATCGACGCCCCGAGGAAGCTAAAAGCGTACCTGTCCTCACTGCCACTACTCGTCAAAGCGGACCCAGGTGAGTGCCTACTCGTATATTTGGTGGTATCCGAAGTCGCTCTCAGTGCAGTCTTGGTCCGCAAAAACAAAGGTACGCAATCCCCTATTTACTATATCAGCAAAACCATAATAGATGCCGAGACAAGGTACCCTCACCTTGAAAAACTAGCTCTGGCACTAGTCGTAGCTTCACGAAAGCTTAGACCATATTTTAAATGTCACCATGTAAAGGTAATAACAACCTTCCCCCTAAGAAGTATCCTGCATAAACCCGAAATCTCGGGTAGACTCGCCAAATGGGCAATACAACTAAGCGAGCACGATATAACTTACCAACAGCGAACTGCCATTAAGTCGCAGGTGCTCGCCGATTACGTCGCCGACTTCAGCGCCGAAATATTGCCCGCGGCGGAACAGGAAACGCTTCGCGCTTCCGCATGTACCGACCTCTGGACACTCTATACCGACGGTGCTTCGAACGCCTCGGGATCGGGACTGGGATTCTTCCTCGAAGTCCCCACGGGCGAGGTAATTCGCCAGTCCGTACGGTTCCCAGAGATGGCTAACAATGAGGCCGAGTACGAAGTTGTGATTGCAGGTCTAAAATTAGCCCTCAAGTACGGCGCCCGACGACTCATCCTCCATTGCGATTCCCAACTCGTTGTAAATCAAGTTATCAGGGCTTTCCAAATCAAACAGCAGAGACTACAAAGGTATCAGTCGAAAATCCGTAAACTACTGCCGGAGTTTGAAGAATGCCGCCTCAACCAGATCCCCAGGGCACAAAACATGGAAGCAGATGGCCTCGCCAAATTAGCTGCGGCCACAAAAAATATTAACAAGGAAAGCGTGGTCACCCTTCTTCACTCAGCCATAGACCACATCGAGGTAGTTTCTCCGAACCTAACTTGGGACTGGCGAAACCGCTTTGTGTCCTATTTATAGGATGTAATACTCCCGCAAGACAAGAAAGAGGTCAAGAAACTCCGGGTGCAGGCAGCTCGATACAGCCTGGTAAATCATGACATCTACAAAAGAACATTTGGCGGCTCCCTAGCCAAATGTCTTGGACCACACCAAACTAGGCAAGTACTGGAGGAAGTACACGAGGGTCACTGCGCCGCCCATACAAGGAATCGCGCCCTCGTTCGATGCCTCATTCGCGCCGGCTATTACTGGTCTACTATGAAAAAAAAGCCGCGGACTACGTACGGAGATGCGAGCAATATCAAAAGTACGCCCCTATGATACATCAAGCAGGGGAACTCCTCCATTCGGTCACCTCGCCATGGCCTTTCATAAAGTGGGGAATGGATATAGTCGGCCCTCTGCCATCAGGATGAGGAAAGGTACGTTTTCTTTTGGTTTTAACTGACTATTTCTCCAAATGGGTGGAAGCAGGTGTGTATGCTCAAGTACGTGAACAGGAGGTCAGTGCCTTCATATGGAAAAATATTATATGCCGTTTCGGTATTCCCAAAGAAATCAGTTGCGACAATGGACCCCAGTTCATCGGAAAGAGAACAACTGAATTCTTCAAAAAATGGCACATCAAGCGGATACTCTCTACGCCATATCATCCCGCTGCCAACGGCCAAGCCGAATCCTCCAACAAAGTAATACTGAACATACTGAAAAAGAAGCTTGAAGAAGCTAAAGGGCTATGGCCCGAACTACTGCCTGAAGTATTGTGGGCATACCGAACTACGCCAAAATCCAGCACGGGAGAAACGCCCTACTCACTTTTCTATGGGACCGACGCAGTCATACCTGTCAAGGTCGGAGAACCCAACCTGAGATACTCCCATATAAGCGGGGCGGATAACGATGAAAGTAGGTTACAAGACCTAGATGAAATTGAAGAACGAAGAGACATGGCCCATGTGAGAATGATAGCCCAGAAGCAGCAAATGGAGAGATACTACAACAAAAAGGCCAAATTAAGATCACTCAAAGTTGGCGACTACGTCCTCAAAGCCAAAACACTAGCTTCAAAGGATCCAAATGAGGGGAAGTTAGGAACAAACTGGGACGGACCAGAAAAAAATCATAGCAACAGCGAACAAAGGAGCATTCCAACTATAGACAATGGAGGAAAAACCTCCCCAAAACAACTGGAACGTCGCCCATCTCAAGTACTTCCACTTCTAAAAGGTGTCACCTAAGTCGTACTTTTTTTTCCTCACCCGAGTTTTGTCCCAATCGGGTTTTCTCGGGGAGGTTTTTAATGAGGCGGCAAAGGGGATACCCTGTGGATCGGAACATTATTCAGCACTTCGGCCCGTCGATTTACTCTCCGAATCAAAGTAATGAAGGGACTATGCAGTTCAATCTGCATTGTACGAATGGAATTCGATCTCCATTGTATAAACGGAATTTGATCTCCATTGTATGAACGGAACTCAATCTCCATTGTATGAACGGAATTCAATCTCCATTGTATGAACGGAATTCACTCTCCATTGCACGTACGAAATTCATTCTCCATTATATGAACAGATTTCACTCTCCATTGTACGGACGGAATATAAACATCCCAATGGCCAAGGCCATCGCCATTAGTTCGACCTCGTTCGAGCTACGACGGGATACTACTTCGACGACAGCCGAAGCTACATCCCAATGGCCAAGGCCATCGCCATTAGTTCGACCTCGTTCGAACCACGACGAGATGCCACGACAGGATATTACTTCGACGACAGTTGAAGCTACTTCCCAAATAGCCAAGGCCATCGACATTAATTCGACCTCGTCGAACCACGACAAGATGCCACGACGGGATATTACTTTGCGACAGTCGAGGCTACATCCCAATGGCCAAGGCCATCGACATTAGTTCGACCTCGTTCGAACCACGACGAGATGCCACGACGGGATATTACTTCGACGACAGTCGAAGCTACATCCCAATGGCCAAGGCCATCGACATTAGTTCGACCTCGTTGGAGCCACGACGGGATACTACTTCGACAATAGCCGAAGCTACATCCCAATGGCCAAGGACGTCGCCATTAGGTCGACCTTGTTCGAGCCACGACGGGATACTATTTCGACGACAGCCGAAGCAACATCCCAATGGCCAAGGCCATAGACATTAGGTCGACCTCGTTCGAACCACGACGAGACACCACTATGACGGCAGCCGAAGCAACATCCCAATGGCCAAGGCCATCGACATTAGTTCGAACTCGTCCAAATCACAACGAGATATCGTTTAAACAAATAATCGAAACAACATCCCAACAAAGACGAAGTGTCATGCGATAAACAAAAAGGAAAAACGACGAACTGACAGTGACAAAACTAAAGTTAATATTACAACAAAAATATTATGTACATTCTTCCCCACGAACAGGTCCTGGTATGACCCACGTCCAAAAATTTACAAGCAAAAAAATCAATGTACGAACTAAAACTACACGTTGCCCCCAGCAGGGTAGACATCTTCATACCACGAATCCGAGTCAAGGCGGTTCACGTCATCAGAAGCAACACCCTCCCCATCAGGAGTGTCAGGGTCGTATCCACACGACTCACGAGATGCACGCGCTTCGGTATGTACTGCCCGAACCTCCGCCTCCGTCGCTCGGCCCTCGGTATAAAAAGACCTATATACATCAAGTCGAGCTTCCGCATAGACCCACAACTCGTACAAGCGACGAGGAGAGCCCTGACCGGCCAAAGGAAGAGATATGGAAGGCCGAGAATAACGATTTGCTTCCTCTGCCCCCTGCAAAGCCATTTGCCCTTGCAAGACGGCCAACTCCGCCTCTAACTCCCCAACACGCCTTTCGAACTCCGCAACTTGATGACCAGAGGTTTCCTTTCCCTGGCAAGTTCCGACTGGGATATATGGAGGGCATCTTCCAAGGAGACCGTCTCAGAAATGGCAGCGGCCAACTTGTCGGCATTAGAATTTAATTCTCCCTTAAGTCTGTCGATTTCCATCGTTTTAGCAATCAGCCTGGCATTCAAGCCGGCTACCTTCAGCTGCAGGTCGGCATTCTCCGCCGTTACCCCTCGACTCAGTTCGAGTTCGTCTTCCTTCGCCTTAAGAAGGACCTTCAGTTCGCTGTTACAGGCGATAGCCCTCACGAGCTCCTCGTCCGTCTCCTTCAGCTCCTCCATACTACGTTCCAATTGGCCCTCCCGCTGCTTAAGTCCCTCGCAAAACACCTGGAAATCGGGATCCTGTTGATAGATGTCGTACATCGCCCGATGTTTAGCGCGGTACTGATGGTACCTCGACGACATCTTCTTATAGAGGCTCGTCCTTCTTCGGTCGCGACGATCTCTTTCCACCTCCAGGACGAGGGTCTAGCAAAAGAAAAACAGTTAGAAAAATACGCCTTTATCGTGCCAACCATACGACATAAAGAAAAGGAAGGGGAACCAACCTGCAAGGCCATACTGGCGACCTTCCGAGATAACTCCGCGTCACTCATCGCCCCAAAGTTTCATTTTGAGGAGCGGCACATAAAGGGGCAAGAGCCGACGCAACCTGCTCACTATTCAGCAACAAGTTGTAACTTCCCGGAATTATCACATGACGGTCGGACCCATCCGTCATCACTTCCACACGGGTGTGGCGACCCAAAAACTCATCCATGTCCTCCGGGGCAACTTCAGAACCCGATCCGCCCTCCTCCACATGAGCTCCTCCGACATGGGACGATGCCCCCCCTTCAGCGGGACGCACTGGACTGGCTCCCAGTCTAACTCTCTCCACTCGGGGTGACCTCCCCGACCTAATGGCATCAGCCATAAAAACGGGCGCCGGAGCCGCCCGAGAGGGGCTATTTCCATCAGCCTCAGTGGCCACAACCTTTCCCAGCTCCAACCTACTCTATTTTCTCTCTAATGGCTCGTCGCCATTAGAAGATTCATCAACAGGACCCGGAGGCGGTGCCAACGAGGCCGCTTCTATCGTAGTCGCGGTCCTAGACCCTTCCCCCCGATTGAAGGAGTAAAGGGCGACCCTACCGGACCGACTCGCTTAAGATGTAGCGAGTGACCATGGTAGCAACGGGTAGCCTGAAAGCCGGGACTGGTGCCCTTCGCCTAGAAGCTCCCCGGCCTGTTGTCACAAAGAATTATACGGTTAAGCGAAGCCGTACAACCAACAAGGTAAAAAAAATGTACCTGAGGAAACTTTAGGACCATAATGTTGTACGAAAGCGGACCAAGTTCGTGTCTCCTCCGCATAGGGCAGCAGGCCAGCGACCCAGTTCCTGAGACCAATGACAGGCTGGGGAGGACGAGCCATAGTTGTAATAACAAATGACCATAAGTTACGATGAGTGGGGAAGACGGGGGAATTCAGTGAGGTACGACACTTACGGGCTTTATTCCACCGCTCTGGGAAGCCGGTGGGGTTAGAGACAACGTGCTCGGTCTTGATGAAAAAGTACTTATGCCAAAATTTACGGCTTGCCCGGTCATCGATCCCAACCACCAGCCCTTTCGTACCACGGAGTCTCAGGTGCACCATGGTCCCCCTAAGGAAACTGGGTGAAAATAAATGCAGGAGATGATGAACGGAGATGCCGCACTCCGCTAATTCCGCATACTTAGCCAGCAGCAGAAACACTTTTAATGTATACGGCGTAAGCTGAGCCGGACAAATATGATAAGACCTGCAGAACTCGTCTGCTAGAGGAAAGAGGGGAAGGGTGTAACCACTCATAAAGGGGTATTCATAAAAGGCACAGTATCCTGGCCTGTGGACGTCGACGTAGTCTCCCTCCGCCAAAATCATCTCTACGCGGGTGGGAATACCGTATTTTATGCGGAGGGCATCAAGGTGAGTCTGATCCATCTAAGAGAGCATAGGGTTCGGAGTAGGAGGTGGATCCTTGGGGAAGTCATTCCGAGACAGGGGATGCCCCGGTAGTAGAGCCTCCACTATAAGAGGGCTGTCACCCTCTTCTACCTCCGCCTCTACGCTGTCGGAAAGAGGGGCTGCATTCGACGGAGCGCCCTCAGGAACCCCTTCGTTAACACGATGAGATCTCGGGATTATTTTGTTTAGAGGGAACGAGCTCTGAGAATGGAATGAAAGATATGAGAACTTCCGGTCATGAATGACAACGAAGGGGATATGAGAGCAGAAGAAGAAGACCAGAAAATTATCAAGAATGGCCAAAGTTTTCCAAAGGAATTGAACCCTTCATCTATTTATAGGGTTGGGTGGTGCCAAAATCGAGGCGGCAGGTTTCAAATCAGTGTAGGGAACCAAGCGCCGAACCGTCAGTCTGTTGCCTCGAAAACCCGCATAATGATGATGCATACGAAGGCTGACGTCATCCGGGATAGTGTGCACTCTTAGGTTCCCGCCATATATGACTACCGTCCCTCATTGATCACGTCGTAATATCTCAGTGAGTCAAATTCCTCCTAAGGGAGGGCATCAAGTCCGCTCATCAAGGACGCACCCCGTTGCGACCTCGACGAACGGAGGGACCTACTGTATAGGTCCAAATTTGACCAACCACGGCCGTAGCGAATACGACCAGCAACCCAAAACCTACGAGTCGGCATAGGGGTACGACCCATAGGTGGAAAGAGTGACGCCATCATAGTAGCGTCGGATTTGGTGCAGTAGGTAGTCCCTGATTCGTCATTTTCATGACTAAGGAAAATCTCTCTCTATATAAGATAGGTTCGAGTCTTGTAAAGGGCAGACAATTTTTGTGGAATATACAATTTTATTGCCTTTCCTTTCTTGTGATCTCTCTCACTCTCTTTTTTTTCCATTAACATCCTAGAGTTTATTATCTTCGGCTAAGATTTACCCCTTCATCCGTGATTGATTTGCTTAAAAGAAGAATCTAAAATCTTTTGAGTCAAATAGTACTGACATAGTCTAATGGGTTGTTCTGAACCCAAATAAGGGCGTCATTCAACTGTCCCATCCCCATATCTATGTATGCAATGTATTTCGTACTATGTTGGGATTTCCCTCCTATATAAAGGGAGTCCTTGTCATTTTGTAAGCACCGGTTCCTTCAGTTGCTCCACACGAAATATACAAGAACATTCTCTCTGCTCTCTTACATATTCTCTTGATATTATTGCTTCCATTTGTCATCTTCATTATTGTTTATCATTTATTGCTTATCGTTGGTCATAAAGAGCCTTCTTTGATTTTATCATAACTGTTAGT